TCATGGACGTGGAAGCTGAGGCTGGGGGTGAGGGGGGTGGGGGGGTCGAGCTGTTTTCTGTGAGGTCATTTTAGAGCTGCTTCCTCTCACAGCCTCATCAGCATTCCCCACAGGACTCCCTCTGCGCTCAAAGCTTCCAGAAGCAACCAGAGGGAAGGGCCTTTCGAATGTTAATTCCACAGCTTGGGAACTGGAAGTAGAGAGGACTGTGGGCTCAGAGGGAGGCAGCGGGCGGGCGGGCCTGGAGCGCAGGGTCTCTGACACTTCCTCTTGCCAGTCTGGAACCAGTGACTACAAGTGGCTCATGGCTGTAAAAGTCACCAAGCCTGTTGTGGGCTACAGAAATAACATGCGTCCCGAATAAGATCAGTTCCTTTTACCCTCTGGCTAAGCAGGACTTTAAAGCTTCACTTTTTAAATCTGGAGAAACCACAAAATACAACCAATTAGGGGGCCCCCCTCCCCCGCCAAAAAAAAAAACAGTCTAGGTTTTATAAGCAGTTTTGGGGTGTTCTGAAAGGGGCACACCCTGCCATCTGCCCCCTCAAAAAAAAGCCCCCAAGAATTTCCTCAGGGTCCTTCATGACTCACGTGTGTCTGGGTAGAACTGGGCTTCCATGGCTGGCTGTGGGGCCAAAGATCACCAGACCTTTCTTCTCAGGTGCCCGTTGAGAAACTCCACCCTTTCAGTTAGCAGCCTCGCTCACTAACGATTGCCACCATGCTAATTGCCAGGGAGCGGTTACTCCTGGGGCTGCTCACCGCAAGGTTAGCAGTTTGAAACCAGCAGGAGGAGCAAGATGATGCTTTGTACTCCCGTAAAGAGCTTCAGTCCTGGCAACCCACAGGGCCAGTTCTACCCCATCCATCCCTGAGTTGGATGGGCTTGGTGGCAGTGAGCAAGTGCAGCCCTGGAGAAGGACATCCTGCTGGGTAAAGCCGGGGTGGGGCAGCGAAAAGGAGGAGGCCTTTGATGAGATGGATGGACACAGTGGCTGCAACCCTGGGCTCTCACACGCGGCCAATTGTGAGGATGGCGCAGGACCGGCGGCGCATTGCTCTGTCCTGTTCTGCTCGGGGACCCTGAGAGTCTGACTACAACAAACAGAGTAGGGATAGAGAGGTGACCGAGACTCTATGCGTTAATGAACAGACACGTTCTGATCAGCCAGACTCTCCACCTCTGAGAACGTAGGGGAAAGGAGGTCAAGGCGAACCCTTGACTTTTGCTTTTCCTGCCCGGCCCTGCCTAGGTGGCGGAGGGCTCCCTTCTCTCTCCCCCAGGTTGGCATTCGTCAACTCCTTCGCAGATGGGTCTGTGTGACATGCCGGAGCTCATCAGATTTCACAGAACTGACAGACGTGTCTGCACAGCCTGGCTCTCCTGACTGCCCGGCTGTGCAGTGCAGACCGGCTCCTCCCTCACTCATGCCCTGGTCCTCCGAGGAGAATCAGACAGGACAGGCTCGCTCTCATGCCGATGCAAAGTACTCCCGGAGGAGGTCCAGCCCC